ATAAATTATGCCAAGATTAATCATGTATAACTCGAATACAATTCATATGACTTAGGTAAAAATCTGTATCAACACTTGAATATAAACTTATCATTTTCAAATATAGTAATCATAAAATTTTAAATATTTTATTTTTAGCCATTAAATTATATTGTGATATTAGAAGTACGCAGTTTGTTTTTAAAATTTTTAAAAAACATTTTTTTACAATGTAAACATGAACATGACACACCTAATACAATTAGCATAACTATAAACATATTGTACAATTGATTTAATATTTTAAATATGTTTTTTAATTTTTAGATAGACATAATATAAATACACTTAAAACGTAATATTTATGAAAAAATATTTAAAAAATTTATTAAATACCAAAAATATACAAAATATAAAAATTCAGTATATTTTCATATTTTTGTATAGTTATTAATTTTTTAAAATATTTTTTTTGATATATTTAAGTAATGTGCATCTAAAAAAGTAAAAAAACTTATTTAAAATTTTAAAAATATTCATTAAAAATATAAAAAAATACGAATAACAAAAAACTCAATTTCTAAAAAATAAAAATCAAACACAATAATACTATATTTTCTGATTTAAGAAGAGTAAATAATTAAAAATAAATAAAAACAAATCTACACACGGTCCTATACAGATTTTAATATAACTTTTTTATTCATTATTATTATTATTATTATTCTAAAATATTATTATCTTATTTTATTTTTTATTATCTCAAAATATTAGTTTTTTTAAAAAAAATTAAGAGCTAAAATAATATAAATTTTTTATTTTACTCTTCTTTTAAATTTATTAATAATACAAAAGTACAATTATGACAATTGATATTTTTTTTAAAAATGTACTATTAAAGGGTAATTTTAAAAAATTAATATTTTTAAATTACAATAATTATATTATCAAAAAAATTAAATATTACTTTAAGACGAAAGGAATATAAAAGTTAAATATTATTTTAAGACGGAATGGGTATATATTATTGTTGTTGTTGTTGATGACGGGACGTTTGTTACTTAGGTCAAGTTTGACAATCAAAAAATAATCTATCTTTTTTTCATCAAATCACCTCTCTATTTTTTTACACATCTTTCGTAAAAAGATAAAAAGTACACTTATTTAGGTCATCTCAAACAACCCCTTAGTCCAATAATACATTATTTATTATTGAGAAGCATATAAAAAGTAATTTAAAAATAATAAAAACATTAAAAAATACTTTAAAATGAGTTAAAAATATTGATAAAAAAAATATATTTGGGTAATAATTTTTCTTTATTTTTTTCTTGTAATGACTCTGGCAAAATGGTTGCTACTAAATTAGCCTATTAAAAGACAAAATAAATTAAAAAATTAATAAGACAAAGTGTTATATCTAAGTTATAATAATTTTACTTTTTCTCACAAAAGTACAAAAAAAAAAATCATCCAAAATGAAACTTTTTTAACGAGGTTAAAATAGTAAAAAAAAATTTTAAAAATCAATCTAAAAAAAATCATCCAAAATGAAGCTTTTTTAACGAGATTCAAATAGTCAAAAAAATTTAAAAAATCAATCTAAAAAAATCATTTCCAAACATGTATATATTTATTAGTAATATTATTAAAATTTTATTAACATGTATATAGTTTAGAAGATTATTAATAAGGTAAAATTACATGCAGGGATAAGTAAGTCAAAATTATGAATAAATTACAAACACACTCATTAGGGTTTACCTAAATTACAAATTATCCCTGTAGTTCTAGAAATTACATTATGCCCTCTAAGATTTTTAATTTCATAATAAATAGATCATTTTATTAATAAATTATCAAGTTAATTAATAGTTTTTAATAATGTTAAAATTTTATTTCAATTAATAATTCAGATAATTTTATTATTGTGTAGGTGAACAGTTAGAAATTTTACTTTTTTAATTAATTCTGTTAAATAATTTTTTTTGACACGGATGTATTTGTAATTTCCAAACCACTGGGAGCAATTCATATTTTAAACAAATCTCAGATGTGTATTTGTAATTTATAATAAAAACATTAAAAAATAGTTTAAAATGAGTTAAAAATATTGTGAATTTAATGAAAAATATATTTGGGTAATAATTTTTCTTTATTTTTTTCCTTTTAATGACTCCATTTGGCAAAATGGTTGCTACTAAATTAGCCTATTAAAAGACAAAATAAGTTTAAAAATCAATAAGACAAAATATTATATTCAAATTATAATAATTTTACATTTTTTCTCACAAAAGTATAAAAAAAAAATCATCCAAAATGAAGCTTTTTTAACGAGATTCAAATAGTCAAAAAAATTAAAAAAATCAATCTCAAAAAATCATTTCCAAACATGTATATATTTATTAGTAATATTATTAAAATTTTATTGACATGTATATAGTTTAGAAGATTATTAATAAGGTAAAATTACATGCAGGGATAAGTAAGTCAAAATTATGAGACTTAAGGTAAAAACATAAAGGCGTCGTTTGATAACATTTACGTTTTTAGTTTACTATTTATATTTATAAAAATTTTAAAAATTCAAATAAAAACTTGTTTGGTAAAATTTTTGATTTATAAATAAGTGGTCTCAATTTATAAATTTGGCTAAAAAATGAAAACACAAAAAATGTGTTTCCATTTTGAGTTTTGAGTTTTTTTTTTTTTACCACCCAACACTAGCCACCAACCATCATCATTTTCCACCACCGTCTTCCGCCACCACCCCCACCACCACTCACCACCCACTTGCCACCACCACCATCCACCACTCGCCACCACCACGCACCCCATGGCGAGTAGGTTTGCAAGGAATACAAGAGGGATTGGGTGGTGTGCATGGTTGGAAAGAAGGGGCTAGCTAGAGTGGTCCTGGGAAAGAGGGGGTTGAAGTTGGGATTATGGGTGGAGGTAAGGGCAATGGGTGACAAGTGGTGAGAAGGAGAAGAGTGGGTACAAAAATTATGATTTTAAAATTTTAATGCTTGAGGATTGTAGAGTAATTTTATGAAAGATAAAATCATAATAAAAAAAAATTAAATTGCCAACCTATTTTAACTTAGACATCAACTCCTCAATCATTTTTGAGTTATTTTTGTCAATCAATAGGAGAATAATTAGAAATATGAGAAATATTATAGTCAAACAATAGTTAGAAACCCAACAATGTTTGATAATCTGATTTAACACTTAAAATTGAATATATTAAGTGATTGTCAATTAAGTCTGTTTGATAATGACAATTAATATTACTTAAAAATTTAAGTGTTTATTAAAATATAGGCTAAACCTTAATAAAATTTTAAATCATATGAAACTTATTTAATTCTGCTAAATTTATAAATACTAAATATAAATATTGATATACACTAGTATAAACTCACTAGCACCATTGCCACCATTGTCACCACTGCCACCACTACTGCTACTGCTACCACCACCATCAAGCCCCTGCCACCACTATCACCACCACCACCACCACCGCCGCCACCACCACCCACTTGTTACCACCCGCCACCATCACCTACCCACCCACCACCAGCCACCCACCACCCACCGTCACCACTTTCCACCACCGTCTTTCGCTGCCACTTGCCACCACTTGCCATTTCTCACTATTTTTTATATTTTTAAATTTTTTTAAACATTTTGTTAATTACCAAATGCATTTGTAGTTTATGTTTTTCTATAAATAAACAAAAACCAGTTTATAAAATTTTTGTAAATATAAACTGAAAACGTAAACGTTATCAAACACACCCAAAATGATGTCATTAAAATAATTAATAATTAAAAATCCAGATGTAAAAAAAAAATTTGACTCATTGGCATCTAGTATGTATACTAAAATTTAATATTTTATAAAAAATATTTAATGGTCCGAATTTTCATGACTTAAATAATTTAAATATGTCAAAACGATATCATTTTATATTTAAAAAAACATTATTTTGAATATTTCAAACCATTTAATTTTCAGACCACTTACTATGGTTGATATTTTATTTATAAAAAAAATAATTGAGGTTGGCACATGGGTCCGTAGTATTGTTGTGTATGACCGCTTTTCCACATGCTCGCTCTCTCTGTAATGTCAGTTTGATTTGTGAGAGAGAAGGAAAATAGTAGAAAGCTAGTCTCACAAAGTCTATCTATCAGAGACACCGCATCAACTTTCAGAGTTCTGGAGGAATGGGGATTGTACGGCTTTGCGAGAAGCAGGAGGTGGAGATTGAAGAATTCCGGCGGATGTTGCTATCTTACGCCGGCGGGGTTCAGACAAGGAAACACCAAGTGGAGTTCAGGGACCAACCAGTGACGGCGGCGCTAGGCGGAAACGACGGCGTCGCCGAAGAGAAACTGGTCTGCGTGACCAGCGGTGTATCGTTCCTCGGCCTCGCTATCGTGAACCGGCTCTTAATCCGTGGCTACTCTGTCCGAATCGTTGTCACTAACGAAGGTGATTTATACTCTCTGTTTGGTCACTGAGAAAGGTTGGGAACATGCCGGAAAATTTGGGATCTGACTTATCTCCTAATTTTTGTTAACTTTTTAGTTAGTTTGTGTGTGTATGTGTGTTTTTTTTTTTTTTTGGTACTGAAATTTTAGTATGGGCGTTCGATTAAAAAGTTAAAAACTAACAATTAAAAAGTATAAAAAAATATCAATTAAAAAAATTTAAAAGCCAATGATTTAGGAAAATGAGAAGAAAACTAGTAGTTATTTGTTTGGCTATTATGAATTAGTAATTTAATTTTCGTTCCCCTTGACAAATTCACATCAATGATCACTGTGTGTGTGTGTGTTGTGTTGTGTTTTTTTTTTTAAATGAAAGATGCTAAGAATTGGTGTTGATAGTTCGATCTGATTAAAAAAAGAAATTGTAAAACAACATACGGGATTGGATTGAATTGAATTGAATAAATGGTTGCAGAAGATATGGAGAAGTTGAGGGAGACGGAATTGTCGGGAGAGATGATTGGAGCTAACAACAGAGTAATTGCAGTGATGGCCGACCTCACTGATGTTCATAACCTCTCTCAAGCATTTGATGGCTGTCGTGGCGTATTTCACACCGCTGCTTTCGTTGACCCTGCTGGGCTCTCTGGTTATTCCGTGAGTCTTCTCTCATTCCATCCTTTTTTTTTTTTTTTTTTTTTTTTTTTTTTTTTGTCATCCCACCTCTTTTTTTGGTAACTGGAATTTTCATTAAAAAGTATACAACATTCCCGACCATGCATTCATTGTGATAGGTAAAATTGATAAAGCATATATGTGTGATAGGTGGAGTGGTAACGTCAAGCCTTTATTTATTTATTTATTTCATTGCCTTACAATACAAGACTATTTGTGTGAGGTATGCCACACTCCCTGGCCGTACAGTTTATTAATAAGGAGTAGCCAATTTCAATGATTAGCCACTGTTGTTACAATTCCGACCATATATTACAATTCTATGATCTTGTGATTCACGAAATGGATTCAGATTGTGTAAAAAAATCCCTTGCAAGTAGGCTCTTTCGATTCTTGTAGTTGAATCTTGTTGGATCGTGCAATTCTAATCCTAAACTGATGATTCCAATCCAATTTTTAAGCTTGTTTTGTATGTGATTTTTTCGGGTTAGTTTTTTATGTTTGTGACCTACATACCAATTTTATGCAGTCCAAACAAAACATAAATTAGTTAGGCTAGGAACAGGACAATAGGCATTCAAGTATTTGAGGGTGTTTGGTGAGAATGAAATTTCTGACTTCAGGTAATTAACTGATTGCCTGAAGACTCTAGCTTCCTTCTAAAGTTCTGACAATCTACAGCCCTGGCATTTAAGAGTAACAACACAAACAGCAACTGAGAAAGGATTGGGCACCTCTTAATTTTAATCCCAGAAATTTGTTGGGTTGCCACTGCTCTAGAAAGTAACATATAAAGCCTCAGCAACAAGAAAATATAAGGAGATTGTTGATCCCCTTGTCCGTGACCTCTTTGACTTCATGCACTTTATCTCCATTAACCACAGTTGAGCATCGGGGAATGGAAGTGCTGCATTGCAGAACCCACCCAATCCATTGCTTAGCAAAGCCCATCTCTCTTAACTTGGAGCTACATTAGAATTTAGGTCCTTCTTATGATTGAGGGAGTGAAAAGCTTCATGAGATGATATTGCCTTGAATCTGCCAGCCATGTACAAAGGCTGCCTGCTGTTGTGAGATTAGGAAGTGCAATTAAGGTAGAAGTGAGTTGAAATTACAGAGACTAATTAGCCTAAACTGACAATAGTCTCTGGATGCTGAACTTTAGGAATAAGAACCAGATTAGTTTAGTTTAGCTCCTTTAAGAGAAAACCGCTGGTAAAAAAAAAAAACCTTCGTTGCCTGACACAAGTCCCTTCCAATAGAATTCTAGTACTTAAGATAATAGTGTCCTAGAAATCCATTCAGATGTAGAGCCTCAAGAGGCCCTAGTTAAAAAGCGGCTTCTTTAGGTTCAATGTTTGTGACCTGCCGACACAGTTTATTTATAGAATCAGTCACTACAGAGTCTATCACCTGCAAAATTTGTGAGAAATCTCGATAAATAGCCTCTGTATTGGTTTTGAAAGTGAGCTGAGATTAACCTTGAAATGTCATCATTTTCTGTTTTCCATTCACCAATCTCATCCATAAGTTAACAATTTGGTTTCTTTACCAGTCTTGAATGGCTGTCATGTCAAAAAAATGAGTGTAACGACCACTTGACTTTATGTATCTCAGTCTGGATCTTTGGTGTCAGAACACCTTTTTTTCTCCATAGGTTGTTTAATCTTGCCGCAAGAGTTACTTCTTCTTTGGCTTCTTCAGAAAATAGAAGTTTTCTGAATTCATTTATTAAAAAATTGAAACTTTTTATTTTTTATATTTTTTATATTTTTACTGAGTGTTTTCAATATCTTAAGTATTTTTTTTTTTAATTTTTAGATATACCTAACATAAATAAACTTAAAAAGTATAATATTTGTGAAAAAAATCTTTTTGACGGCGTCTACTTGGCAACACAGAAACGGTGAGCTGCCCGGCGGTGGTGTGCCGGATAGACCTTCCGACGATCAAGTCAGTCCACTTGAGGAAGAAGAAGACTGATAGAGAGAGAGTATTCTCTTTTGGGGAAGAAGTTGCATACCTCTAATGTTCGTCCTCCTCCATATTTCAAGGCTTGCCATGTAGCCTCAAGATTATGCGCGCACTACCTCTGCTGTCCTTCCCAAGACAGGTGGCAGCGCTCGCCTCTCACCACCTTACGCGTGTAAAGGCTTAGTCCTTCCACCAGTACACGCAGAACTGTCCAACGGTATTGGCGCATGCTTGGGGCAGATTTCCTCTATCCCTCACGCCATTGACCCAGGTGGCACGCTTGACCAGAATACCACGACCGGCCTATCACTTGTGGAGAGTTGCCATCACATGCACACAACCGAGCTATGCGTCGCCGGACTGTCCCTTGCAAAGGGGCCAAATGGCGATACTCGTGGCCGAGCTGATATTGACCGGTTCATTAGGCTAACCGGTTGTGAGGTATGCCGGCCTCCACCCGTCCTACCTTTATTCTCGGTCACACACGAAGCCCACTTATCTCGGCTGGTCGGTCAGAAGCGTGCCGGCCCTAACCGCGTCCATAGTCTAGCCCGCGTTGCTCTTAGCTTGGTCATCAGACACTGCTGCGCGCTCGGCCGCGTTATAGCTCGGCCAGGCATTGGTTTGTGTCTGGCCGGTCGACCTCTCCGGCCGTGCAAGTCAGGCCGCTGGGCCGAGCAAGAGAGGAGTCTGCTCGGCGGCGCGCGGTTCGTCATGATCGGCGTTATCGTAGCTCGGCAGTACTAACGTGCAAATCTCCCCTCTCAATTGCCCATTAACCCCATCCGACCTAGTCGTGATTGGGGTTACCATCGTGACCGAGCTAACGGATGAGTTGCGCCATCACCAAGCCGAGCATGATTGGGGGCATATCTATCGCTGAGCCGTCCCATTTGGTCGGCCATTTCCTCCACAGTCTTATCAAAGGTCGTACAGCCGTACTGACAGCCGCGTTTCCAGTGCCATATGGCCTCACACCATTGGGTCGTGCAGCCAGCTGTTCTGCACGCTCAGATTTCAAATGGCGCAGCCGTTTGGGTTCCTTCCCTCCTCTTTTGTATTCCAACAAAGGGCTTAAAACCCTTCACTTTTCACCTTCTCTGCCACACAAACCCTAAACCCTAGCTTCCATATTCTCTGAGAAATTGCCCTCACTGCCGCTGTATCTCACCTGCTTCCGTTCCTATTTTTTGTTTCTCGTGAGGTCACAACCAAGTTCGAGAGGCCCTGTTCTTGCATCTGGTATTTGGTAAGTCCTCCTACCCTTCCCTCAAACTCTCGTACTCGAGTTCCTCAAGTTTTCCACTTTTTTGTGGTTGTATTCTTCATGTTTATGCTTGGGGCCATTAGAGTTGCTTTCCCTTGCTTAGATCTTGCACACCCTAGGGCAAACAAAAACAGTAGGAATGGATGGGGCTTTCGTGCCCCTTGTTTCTCCTGGGTTCGAACGAGTTCGTCCTATTTCTAGGATGAACAGTTTGAATCTGGGTAGAACCGAGCTAAACGCTCGTTTAGATCCATAAATGATACTATGGCCGAGCAAAAAACTGGTTTGTGGCTTCTCGTAGAGGCTGCAGCCGAGCTGAATACTCTAATTAGATTGGTAAATAGGAACGCACCGAGCTGTAACTTTTCCACTTCAAAGCCTAGCCGAGCCGAATACTCCATTAGATCTGCAAATAGGAATGAACCGAGCTAGGAAATCGACCAAGTAGTCTAGCCGAGATAGGTGTCAGGCCGGTAAAGCACCAAAAATCCTTCACTGAGCTATTTCCAATAGGAGCCGTGGAATTTATGCCGTGCTAACCCTTGGCCTCATTTTTTAACAATGCAGAACAAACTAGGACCGATCAGTTCAGTCAAGAACCATCACTGGTGGAGCTCAAAGACCGAGCAAATACACCAAACATTTTTGTTCAAGATACAAGTTAGTTCACCAAATAAAACCGAGATAGATGGGCAAGTACCGATTCATAGTGAGCTCGCCCGGTGCGATGGCCGAGTTTCGTAGGGAGTACAACATCCCAGATGACGTCGTCTTAGAGCTCGCCAAAAAGGGAGACACCCCTTGGGGGGATCTAGACCGGTGCCCCTTTACCGTCATATCAATAGTAGAGGGAGGGCTCCGCTTCCCGGTTCAACCCTTGATCTGCGAATTTTTGAGACAGACAAGGCTTTGCCCGACCCAAGTTTCAAATAACACTTACAAAATAATAAACGGGGTCGCCGAGCTGAATCGGAGGCTCGGTCTCAATCTCGGTCTGGCCGAAATTTTCCATCAGTATAGTCTAAGTAGAAATAAGAGTGGGCTTTGCTGGTACCTCAAAGTCAAGAAGGGTCGAGCAAAGCTAATAGAGGGCAACCCGGACAAGGAGACCAACGACGACGACTTCTTGTGGGTGTCCGGTCGCTATGAGGACACCGAGACACCCATACCGGGATGGTACATTAGAAAGGATTTTGGCAGTGCCGGTGAGTCGCTCGGCTGATCGCGCTGTTTTCTTTATGCATCAATTACTTTCCATGCCGATCTAACATTTGTCTTCTTTTTGCAGATAAGCACCTAGCAGCAGACTACTACCAGGCCAACCAAGAGGCCATCAGAGCCCTGCTGTGCCATCCTGCCGAGGAGAGGGAGGCTTCGAAACTGCTCGACTTTGAGCAGACCTACCACTACACCGCACCGCGCAAGAGCCGGGTTACCGATTTTCTGCGTGCGCCAACCCCAGAACCGGATCCAAACCTACCACCGATCAGGCTTGTTCCACTTACCGCCGAGCAAGAAATGGCGAAAATCAGGGCCATCAAGTCCATGATCACCGGGGAAGAAGACGAGTCCCAAAAACCAGAGGCAACCGGGGGGACATCCTCCACACCCGCCGGGCAACAAGAAGGGGCAGTACTGGCACTTGCTAGCGAACCAACTGGTCGGTCCAAGAAGCGGCCGAGGAAGGAGCAAACCGGGCCGCGTCTGGCGGATGAAGACTCTACTGATCGCGTCTCCACCGAGCTCGGGGACCAGACCGAGCAACCACAGACCGGCAAATCCAAGGGCCCAGCCACCCTCCCGATCTGGGCGCCCGAGTTCAAATACCAGGGCCGAGCAGTTTCTGCTGAAGACTCTGTCTACGCGGACAAGGACTACTCGCTTGGTTTCAATTTGACCAAGGGGTTGATCTTGCCCGCTGATATGAAAAAACACGACAAGCTTTCCGACCTCAAGGTCCTCCGCTCGGCGGCGAAATCCATAGTTCTGGTAAGTTCTCCATTCTTTGCGTCAGACTGTTTGCTCGGTTTTTGCTCGGTTTCTCGAATACTCACGATCTCTCGCTTGTTTTCAGGTTGCGCAAAAGAACTATTTGGCCCATGACCGAATGATCAAAGTGCGGCAAAGCCTGCGGGATGCAATTGCTGAGAATAAGGCCCAAAAGGCCGAGATAGCAAAACTCAAGGTCGCGCAAGAAGCGGTCGTGGCGGAGCGAGACATCCTGAGCCGAAAGGTCGACCGAGCTAACGAGGACAAACAACGGGCCGTGAAGTCGGCGAAGGCTCGGTACCTCGTCGAGCTGAGGAAATTGCGCGATGCCAACAAGCTAGCCATGGACAAGGCGGTCGTGGATGCCGAGGACCGGGGATACGCTCAGGGCGAGAAGACTTACGAGCGCCAGGTCCAAGCGACCAAGGACATCTTTTTCCAGTGTGGTTGGAAAGTCGCCGTGGAAAAAGTTGGCCTTGGTCAGGACGCTAACATGTTCCTTAACCCTCCTGCAGCCTACATCCCGGTCTATATGCAGGCGTACGCCAGTGCTACCCAGAATCGGCTTATCGCCGAGGCAAGGAAAGAGGCCGAGGAAGAAGCTGCCGCCGCGCAACAAGCCGAGCAAACCACTACCGAAGCATCCCAAGATGCGGAAGATGAAGTGGCTGACCGGGAGGTTGCTGTGGAGGATGGAGCAGACGATGACGCCGAGGAAAACCTGCCCGAGCAGACAACTGAGATCGCCGAGCAGACGACGGAGGCAGCCGAGCAAACCGTGGACCTTGAATTGGACTAAAGATCTTCTTTTTTTTTTTTTTTTTTTTTGGTTTGTTTTGGATGTAACGGGCTATGCCCCAATCTTGTACTAAAATTTCCTTTATCAATGAGAAATTTCGACTTCTTGCTCGTACATCTTCTATTTCCGTTCAGTTGGCGTGTGCATAAATTCCTTGATTCAATCGTTGACAATTTACAACTGCCAGGTCAGCTACGCTGCACAATTTGCCGAGCTAAAATCACCTTAGACGTTTTCTAATCAGAATTAGCAGTTCGGCTCCTCGAACTTTCAGATGAACTGACATTTTAACTCAGCCGAGCAAAATCTGCTCGGCTTTGACTGGTTGTAGACTTTGTAGAATTCCAATACTTCAACGTGACCGAGCAAAATCAGCTCGCCTTTTAAGTTGGGTAAGACGCCAACATTTCTTTTCTGCCGAGCAATGTCAGCTCGGCTTCTCATTAGTTGAACAAAACACCAACATGCCAAATTTGGCCGAGCAAAGTCAGCTCGGCCGCTACATTGGGCAAGACACCAATGTTTCATTTAGGTTGGTCATGTCGCCAACATTTCCGTTGGCCGAGCAAATCCCAGCTCGGCACATGTGTGAATTGGTTCATTCGCCAATTATATCGTTGGACAATGCACCAGCTGTTTGTGCGGTTTGCTTCCATTCCGGCGAGTGGAAATCAGACCGGTCCCATTCAGGTCGGTCCCTTGCCCCTGGCATCCATAATTGCCTTGCGTCCTTGCGAATTCATTGTTCAAAGATGTAATACCAAATAACAAGAGGGATATTTTTCATTACAAAAGCATTGCTATCTTTTACATTAAGTGCCAAAAGGCTAAAGGTCTAGAAAAGCTAAACAACACAAGCAAATTACATCTTAAAAGTAAAAGACCTTAAGGTTGGCCGTATTCCATGGTCTGGGGACAGCCTTGCCATCTAAATCTTCCAAATGGTATGCCCCTTTACCAGCAAGACCAATCACCTTGTATGGTCCTTCCCAATTTGCACCGAGCTTTCCTTCGCCAGGGACCACTGCGTTGCCAAGCACCTTTCTTAATACCCAGTCCCCAATCTTGAACAGCCTGGGGTGCACAGCCTTGTTGTACTTTTTGGAGAGTTCTTGTTGATAGGCCGCTATGTGGATCAATGCTCGCTCCCTCCTTTCTTCAGCAAGGTCCAACTCCAATGCCATCGCTTCATTATTCAGATCTGGCTGGAAACTTTCAAAGCGGATGGTTGGCATGCCAATTTCCAACGGGATGATGGCCTCCATGCCATAGGCCAAAGCAAATGGTGTTTTCCCAGTTGACCGCCTTGGCGTAGTGCGGTATGCCCAGAGCACATTAGGGAGTTCTTCAGCCCACTTGCGCTTAGCCTTCTCAAGCCGCTTCTTCAGCCCGTCCAGGATGGTCTTGTTTGAGGCCTCTGCTTGACCATTTGACTGAGGATAGGCCGGTGTCGAATTGTAGAACTCGATCTTCAACTCTTCGCAAAACCCACGAAAGAGTTTACCATCAAATTGAGTGCCATTATCCGAGATGAGGGCCTTGGGTATACCGAAACGGGTGATAACGTTTTGCCATACAAACTTCTTCACGTCCTTTTCCTTTATGGTCGCTAGTGGCTCAGCCTCAACCCACTTGGTGAAATAGTCGGTGGCGGCGATAAAGAACTTGCGATTGCCTGGCGCAGCTGGGAGTGGCCCAACAATATCGAACCCCCAAAGCGCGAACGGCCAAGGACTTGTGAGAGGGAGCAAGTCTCTAGCCGGCTGGTGGATCTGGTGGGTGAACTTTTGACACTTCTCGCACCTACGAACATATTTTTGCGCATCTGCCTGCATGCGCGGCCACCAATAACCCTGAGAGATTGCTCGGTAAGCCAAGGATCTGCCCCCAGTATGGCTGCCACAGATGCCTTCGTGTATCTCGTAGAGGAAAGCCTCCACCTTGGTGGGGTGGACACATTTCAAATACGGCCCGGTGAAAGATTTCTTGTACAAGGCCCCGGATGGGGAGAGCCAAAACCGCTCTGACTTTGCCCGGATCTTGTGTGCCGCCTTCTTTTCTTCTGGTAGAATTCTATCTTTCAGGAAGGCGATGATAGGATCCATCCAAGAAGGGCCCAAGTCGGTGCAGAGTACCTCGGCTGATTCTGGTTCCTCAATGCTCGGTGCAGAGTACCTCGGTTGATTCTGGTTCCTCAATGCTTGGCCGGGGTAAAAATTCTATCATCAAGGGGTTAGGAAAAACTGTGTGAGCAGAAGCAAGTCCGGCTAATTCATCAGTCGCGCTGTTTTCCTCGCGGTCGATTTGTTCCATCCTTATTGCAGCGAACTTCTTGATCTCTGCGCGTACCAGCGGCTGATACTTGGCCATTCTTTCGTCCTTTGCCTCATACTCCCTTGAGACCTGATTGACCACCAACTTGGAATCATTGAATACCATAAGGGCTGTGGCTTTCATTCTCAGTGCGCTTCTTAGTCCGGCAAGGAGAGCTTCATACTCAGCCTCGTTGTTGGATGCTGGGAAGCCGAGTGTAATTGCCTGCTCGATGATCAGCCCGCCCGGCGAGTTCAGCACGATGCCCAGCCCGGCCCCATGTCTGTTGGATGCCCCATCAACGAAGAGCTTCCGCATCTCGCCAATAAACAGCTTCCAGCAATCAGAGGGGTTCTAGGAGCTTCTCAATTCCAAGTCTCTGGTTGGCTCATTCTGGTCTTTTTCCTCGTCATGGTTGACTTCCTCCTGCGTCGAGTCGTTCGCCTTCGCTGGTTCGGTCGCTCTTTGCCCTTCCTCCTTTTGCGCACCAACACTCGTTTTTGTTGCCAGAACCATGGGTTGTGCTAAATCCGCACCAACCAAATCAATTAGGCAGACTGGATGCATCCCAGGGGCAAATTCCGCCACAAAGTCAGCAAGTGCTTGAGCCTTGATTGCGGTGTGCGGTCGGAACTTGATGTCATATTGCCCTAATTCCACGGCCCATTTCAAAATTCTCCCACTGAAGTCTGCCTTTTCAAAAAGCACTTTGAGTGGGAACTCGGTTAACACAACTATTGTATGGGCATGAAAATAGTGTGCCAGCTTTCTTGACGCCATCATTAGGGCCAGCACCAATTTTTCCAAGGGAAGATATCTCGTTTCGGCTGGGAGCAGAGTCTTGCTTACATAGAAGATCGGTAGGTGCTGGATGCCTTCAGCACGAACCAATACCGCTCTGACTGCGTGTTGAGAGACAGCCAAGTAGAGGTACAACTCTTCGCCCGGCTGAGGTGTGACCAAAATAGGGGCTGAAGAGAGATATGCTTTCAGGTCTGCTAGTGCGCGGTCGCACTCGTCATCCCAGAAGAATTTGGACTTCAAAGTTTTAAAGAAGGGCCTGCAACGATCAGAAGACCGGCTGATAAATTTGTTCAACGCGGCTGCCATCCCGGCAAGATGTTGCACGTCCTTCGTGGAGTTAGGACGCTCTAGGTCTTGTATAGCCTTGATCTGTGATGGGTCAGCTTCGATCCCTCGATTTGTGACCAGAAAACCCAAAAACTTCCTGGTGTCGACTCCAAAGGCGCATTTGGAAGCATTCAAACGAAGCTTGTGGCGTTTAAGTATAGCAAACATCTCTGCTAGGTCGGAGAGGTGCTGAGCTTTCTCCTTACTTTTCACCACCATATCATCGATGTAGGCCTCCATGGTGCGGCCCAGCATTGGGGCGAACATCTTTGTCACCATCCGTTGAAAAGTCGCCCCGGCGTTCTTTAGTCCGAACGGCATGACTTTGTAGCAATATAAGCCTCTGGGGGTCGTGAACGACGTGATCTCTCTGTCCGATTTATACATGGCTATCTGGTGGTAGCCGCGATATGCGTCCAGGAAGCTAAACCTCTGATGGCCAGCGGTTAAGTCCACCAGCTGGTCAATTCGTGGGAGGGGAAAGCTATCCTTGGGGCAAGCTTGGTTGACGGTCTTGTAGTCAACGCAGACTCGCCATTTGCCGTTCTTCTTTGGAACAACCACCGTGTTGGATATCCACCGAGGGTATTGCACCTCCTCTATGGTCCCAGCTTCCAACAAATTCTTCACTTCTTCTGCCACCACTTCCACATGGTGCAAGGCTGAGCGGCGCGTCCTTTGAATGACTGGCCGTGCATTGGGGAAGACATTCAACTGATGACAAATGAAGCTCGGGTCGATGCTAGGCATGTCATAAGGCGTCCAGGCAAAGGCCTCCAAATTGAAAACTAAGAAGTTGACATAATCCATCCGCTCGGCGCTAGACAAGGATGATCCCAAGAGGAAGAATTTAGTTGGATCGTTCTCGTCAATGCGCACTTCCACCAAATCTTCGACCGATTTTTCCTCGGCCTTTCTTCCTACGTCTTCAAGGACCTCTTTACCCTCGGGCCCCTCAATCATTTGGACGAACCCTTTGGCCACTCGGCTGCCATTTACCGCAACGAAGCATTGTTTCGCCATCACCTGGTCCCCCCAAACTTCCTCTATTTGTCCGCTTGGTGCCGGAAAGCGCATGACTTGGTGGAAGGTCGAAGCAACTACTTGCATGGCGTGCAGCCAATCCCGGCCTAAGATCAAGTTGTAAGTCGATGGAACTTTGAGCACCCAGAACTCTACTTGCTTTACGACTGATCCTGCTTTGACTGGCAAAATAATCTTTCCGATTGGCCATTCTAGCTGTGAGTTGAAGCCGACCAAAGGGGACGTTGCGGGGGCCAAGTCCTTGTCTTCCAACTTCATTTGTTTAAACGCGTCATAATACATAATTTCTACCGAACTCCCCTGGTCGATCAAGATTTTCTTGATGTCAAAGTCTTTGACGCGAAGAGTGACTACTAGAGCATCATTGTGCGGCATCTGAACTCTTTCCAAGTCTTTGGTCGAGAATGAAAGGATGTCCCTCTCTTCGGTCTTTCCCTTCTTCACAGCGGGCTGAACAGAGAGCACTTCCCTCATGTGCTCGGCCTTCTTGATCATCCCTCTCAGCTCGCAGACCTTGGCCGGTTCAATGATGCCGTGGATGACGTTG